GATGATGGAGGAAGGAAAGCCCTCCCGTGTGCTCTGGACCTCGTGTGCACTGGACTCCGTCCTCCCAGGCATCCTGCCTCAAGGATGGGGCAGAGGTACTCTTCTTGGAGGTGTGGCCCTGCCCTGGATGCAGATCCAATTGTGGTGACTGGCGCTTTCTGTGCAGGGCGCTGCTTTCTGGCTCGGTTTGCAGGTGGGGAATCTCTGGCTCCCGCAAGAATGGATGCCTTCATTTCTGGGAGGGACTCAGATGAAGGGAAACCACTCAGCCCCTTCCTGCCAGGCACAGTCATGCAAAGATCAGACACACACCTGCTTTCCCTCTGCCCGTGCCCACCCCCTTCCGGAACCTGAGCCCTGCCCACACTCCCCCAATCTGGGTCTAGTTCACCCTTGAAACATCATGGATTATGAACACACAGGGGCATTCACAGCAGCAGTATTTAGACAAGCGAAAGACTGGGCACACCCACATGTCCATCAGGAGCTGTCTGGATGAGTCAACCCTGGGCCTTTGCACAATGAAGACTCTACAGCTGACCCCACGGGAGTGGAGGCTCACTGCCACGACACGCTGCCATTCTGGTGCCACTAGGTTCTCCTTGTCAATGCTCCACCAAACAAGCCAGCACTGACAGTGTGGGCACTCTGCTCTCTGGGTGTGCGAAAGGCCCGTATGAGGACACCCACCAACATAAATAAACTGTGCGTTTGCTTAGATGGATGCAAACAATGGAAGGATCAATGTAAAGATGAACGAGTTTCCTTTAGGGAAACAAGACCAATTTGCTGGGGGAGCGGGGGTCGGAACTGGGCACAAAGGTACCAACCTTCCCAATGTTGTCTTTGCAACCATCAAAATGTTTTACTTGTTGAAAAGACAAAATTTGATTAAAAACCACAGAGGGAATGGAACAACACCTGGGCGTGTATCGGGTTGTTGGCATAAACCACACAGAGAAAATACTCACTTCGAGTTAGTTTACAACACGGTATGGTGGCACGACATCCAAAAGCACATGCAGTCCTCAGCCATTGAGTCAGTCTGGACTCCAGAGACCCTGCCCCACAGGGAGTCCACGGCTGTGATCACCCCCAGCTGTGAAGCTGGTGCCTCGTCTCTCCCGTGGAGCAGCTGGTGGGTCCAACTAGTGACCTTTCCTTTAGCGGCCCAGCCTGAGTCTACTGGGCCACCAGGGTTCCCCAACACGCCACTTATTTTAACCCGGCATCCAGGCCGGGATAAATGCTAAGAACACAAAATGACAGCGATATCAAATTGCACTCAGTAGCCTGAGTCCAAGTGACACTGAGAGGGCTGCTTTCGAATGGTCGGCAGTATGCCGCGGGGCAAAGATAATGAGTCATATTCTTTCTTTCGTAATGTCACTAGGAGCCGAGATTCCTGGCATAAAAGGAGATAGAAATATAGCACGAAACAAAATCTTGTTACGAACTGGAAATATTAGTGAACTTATGAATGAATCATTTATTTTTTCTCTTAAAAAATAAAACATGTTTCTTGGTGTTATCCACTGGAAAGGTCTAGAAGCAAAGGCAACCAAAAAGCAATCCCCATCCCTGAATTGTTGTCTCTAAACAACCGTTTCACAATGACAGGGACCAGGACCCCTTGCAGAAATGGTCGATTCCAGGCCTGGGGCAAACCGTGTGCAAAATAAACCCAGGATTTCTCTTTCGGCAAGAAAACCAGGAAGTTTTCAAAGACTAACTGAGGCCGTGCCAAAAGGACCCAGGAGCTACGCTGAAGTGACTCCCAGTGGCCTACGAGGGATAAGAGAAGGCAAGCATTCAACAGGAGTGAAGACTGACTGGGTGAAGAGAAGTCAAACACGCTGAAAGTCCATGTACGGGCCATGTTCCCGGGAAGTCATCAGGACCCCAGAGGCCAGCCCTCTGGAGGCAGACTGAGAAAAGGAAGACCCCGTGAACAAATTGTATTTCCGAGCAACCAAACTTGATGAGGGGGGAAAAAAGCTTCACGGGAGACTTCCAGCTAATCGAGGCGCAGTGGACTTCACAATCAGGAAACCACGACTGACAGTGAGTAACAGGTCTAGCCAATGGTCACCACTGGGAGGCTAACACCAACCAACACCTTGACCAGAGAAGCGGTCACCAGAAGTGGGACAACCAGAAAGCAGGCGATGTGCCTCGTGTTGTGATGGGACGTGGCGCGACAGGAAGGTATCTCAACACCAACTAGGACGTTTTCTTTTGTCCCTCCAATTGAAACTTTAGCCCCATCAAACATCGAGGTTCACTGAGTTCATGAGAGATTCAGAGACAACGGGAACCAAGTTTAATCATAAGAGGAAGCATGTAGCCAGCTGCAGAAGGGCAGATATCATTCAGGGCAAATGGCCCCACTTCTCCACCAGGTCAATGGCGTAAAGCAAAGGGTGCGGTGGCGAGAAGACATCTGTATCGATGCAGAGGCTTAAGAAGTACTGCCACAAGCACACGCAGATACCATGAACGGACGCCAACGTTGAAAACCCACTGGGCTCCCTGTGGCTTGCGAGTGTCAAGGTGCCTTGGCAAAGGGAACTAGTTCCACCTAGGTTTGTGATGATGGCCAGGACAGGATGGGCTCCCCTGCGGGCTGAACTTGCTGCACAACCTGGAGAGCGTGCAGGCTCTTGCAGATGTTAAAGGGGGTCTTTAAGATGTTACCTCTTCCTCCATGCTGCTCACTAAAAACATGATTTCTATTTCCTGGGCCTCATCTTTACAAGCCGCCTGACTTCCATTCCTAGCGTCAACCCCGGCAAACCGCATACAATGCAGTCTCAGACCCCCGTGGGGCCCCGGGGACACACACATGAGAAGCTCGGTGTGTTTACTGGACTCTGGTGACAGGGCGGGCATGACACAGGGAAGAGGCCACTTCACTCCAGCTTGTTGACTGCCTAGCCATGCTCGGGGAGCCAGGTCCCTCGTCCCGTCTGCTCCCATCCCAGCCTCCCCAGCACCAGAACTGTGTATTCTCGTTAGGAGATAGGGGTGGTACGCTCTGCGGCCGGTCAGGTGAGCACACTGAGCCATGTGCTGCTGTCAGCTGCTAACTCAAGATGGGCATTTTGAACGCATCCAGCTGCTTGGTGGCAGAGACTTGGAAACCTGCTCTTGTAACGACAGCCCAGGAAACCCTATGGGGCAGTTCTCCTCAGTCCCCTGGGAATGCTCTGAGTTGAACAGACTGGCAGCACCAAAGGCACTCTCCAGGTACCATCCTCCTCTCCCAGGCTTGCAAGTGCATTGCTTTAAACCCCAAGGACAGTTCATGCCCTTCCAAACCAAATCCAAACCCACTGTCGACTCAGAGTGACCCTACAGGGCAGTGACCCTACAAGGCAGTTTCCCAAACTCTGCTTATGCGAGTAGAAAGCCCCGTCTTTCCCTCTCAGCGGCTGGTGGTTTCCAACTGCCACCAGGGCTCCTCCTCAGGTTTCAGGAAACACAACCAACCTGGACCCCATCCAGGTCACCACTCTCACCTGATCACAAACCCAAACCTAATGTTTCCTTTGTAGTCGTTTGCTGCCCCCAGGTGGTCAGTGTAATTGCTACTTCTTTCAAGCCAGGCAAAGAGAGTGACAGCACGGGGGTGCTGATGGCCTTTCTATTCATAAAAAAAAAGCCAAGGAAACCCCAAGGCCTTTGGCATCAAGTCAATTCCAACTCACAGAGACCCTACAGGACCGAGGAGAAGTGTCCCCATGGGGTCTCCATGGCCGGGAACCTTCACAGAAGCAGACTTGTCACTTCTTTCTCCCACGGAGCAGCTCCTGAGTCTAACTGCTGACCTTTTAGTGTGCGGCTAAATGCTTCACGGCCACTCGACCAGGGACCCTGGTTTATATTAATGAGGGGTGGGGGGTGGGAGGCGCCATCATTTGGAGGATAGTAATAGTGATGGCACAACATGAAGGGTATAGTGAGTGTCACACAGGAAAACATGGCTGAGCTGGCGGATGTCTTGCTATGCCTGTTGATCTCACACACACGCAGAAGGAAAGCGCTCAAGAGATGGTACTGCACTGGGAGGCTCCAGCCCCGGACTTCATCTTAGTCTGCTTCTTAATCCTTGGGGACAGGATGCCTTCTGAAGAGTTTCATCCTCCAAATGTACAGGCCAATTGGGGGGGGGGGGAACAAAGCAAAACACCAGCTCATGAAGCAACTAATGTGGTGCTTTGGTTTCCTTTGGGCCACTGAGTAATTTCTGGGGTAACTGGACATAGGCACGATGACAATTTTGAAGAAATAAAAGTTGGAAGATATGGGTTTCTTCACTAGACTTTCCTAAATTTTCATACCTATTGGGTTGGTTCTTCCTAACGATATTTTAGGTGATTTTTTTTCTAAGAATAAACAGCAAGAAACTTTCATAGCTTTTTTTTTTAATCACATGAATGGGAAAAAAATTATTGAGTTATTACTCAAACTTCAATTTTAGAGAGAGGCCATTTTCTGGTTTAGTACTCAGGGTCTCAAAAGAGTTTTAAGCCAAATTAAACAATGGTCCATATCCTGACTTATCCTCCAACTATAGATGCTGGGCAAGCTCTACAATTTCTTTAGGTCTTGGTTTGTTTATTTATAAAATGATATATAGTATCGCTTCTCTCCCACAGTCGTGTGACTTTTAATAGAGTCAGAGCCTGGCACATAGCAGTTGCCCAATTAATACTTTCTCCAGCCCCTTGTGTGAAAAAATGAGCCCTGGTGCTGTAGTGGGTTATTCATTGTGCTGTTAGCTGCTAGGTCGGCAGTTCAAATCCATGAAGTGCTCTGACAGAGAAAGAAGAGGCTTTCTACTCTCATACAGAGTTACAGTCTCAGACACCCCCATGGGCAGTCCTACTCTGGCCTGTAGGGTTGCTAAGAGTTGGAATCCATGGGATGGCAGTGGGTTTGGTTTTATGGGTGAAAAGACCAAAAACACTGTTTCTAGGAAAGAACATCCTAGAAGAAAACTAGTCAGAAGGCCAGTTACCCGAGAGAGTGAAAGAGAACGCCTGGGTCGGCCTGTGCCCAGGCACTGGTCCTGCGTGTTGGGCCCACAGATCTGATGGAGTTCAAGAGCAACTTACTCGAGTTCATCCTCGGACTCACAGCCCACCGGCCCTGACTCCAGGGGGGCGACCTCACTCTTCGCCTGGCTTTGTGTCCAGGCGCTACTTCCTGCGGATGAGGGAGCTTCCTTCCTCTTCTTCTTCCCAAAGAACTTCTTAAAAGTTTTGAATTTAGATTTTTTCTTTCCTAGACAAAGTCAATAAAAAGATAAACAAACAAACGGAGGGATGAGACTGTGTGTGCGCAAACTCACCAAACACAGAAGTGCATATGAAGGAACGAAGCAAGATTTTTGCCCCGGCACCAACTGTTCACTCCTGAAAAGGCTTTTTCTTGTACAGGCGTACACTTCACCGTTTTCACACACCCCAAACCCGATCTTGATTTCTGTTGACGTTGAAGCATTTAATAAACAAAGTTTAAGCGTTAAGCCCATGACTTGCCTCTCACATGAAGTCCTGCTTTCATTTCTAAAATATACACCATTCACACTGAAAGCCCTGAGAACAAAAAGTCCCACGATGGCATGCTTTTCCAAAATAATTCCCCAGTGCTTTCTCCCGTGTGCACCGACACCAGCAAAGTCCGAGGAGGCAAGGGGTGCTTTGCTGGACTGCCAAGAGGCATGACAACCTAACACCAAATGGTGTTGCCCACGGTGGAGGTGCTCGCGGCTACCTGAAAGGCTAGACTTTCAGCCCATCCAGAAGTACTTCAGAAGCAAGGCGGACACAGCAGCTTCCAGAAACCCAGCCATTGAAAACTCTGTGGAGCACAGCTCTACGCCGACCCACATGGGGTCTCCTGGACAGCAGCTGGTCTTGTTGGTTGGTCACTGCCACGTTAGGTGGGACGTGGCAGTGCTGAGCCCGGCTCTGTCGTGTTATCCAGGTTGTTTGAAACTATGATGCTCTCTGCGCCCTCTTCTCTGAGGCGACCTCCATTCTTACCCACACATCCTAGCATCTCTGAGTCTCCACGATGTCACCTTAGCCGCTCGGGAGAGTGAATAACCCTTAGCTTATTCACTTTCTGGATTTCTCTGTGTTCATAATATCCATATTTAAGGCATTACATCTCTAAGTTTGTCTTGGCTACATTCACATGCTCTGATATATAGTATTCTCATTTTTGTTTGGTTGAAAAGATTTTCTAACTGCCATTATGATACTTAAAAGAATGTGTCTTAATTTAGAAAAGCGTGTCGTCTTAATTTCCAAGCATTTGGATATTTTTGAATGATCTGTAGTTGACTGCTGACTTAGTTGCATTGTGACCAGAGAATGTGCTCTGTAAAATCTGAATTTTTTCTAATTTGTCACAACTTGTTTTATGGCTTGACATATGGCGTTTTTAATAAATGTTCCTGGTATGCCTGAAAAGAATGCATTTTCTTCAATGTCCTATATATGTCAGTTATTACGAGGCTTAAAAAAATTAGGTTGTTCAAATGCTTTGTATCTTTACTGATATTTATCCATTTGTTCTATCAATTACTGAGAGGGGTGTTAAAAATTACCCACTCTAATGACAGGTTTTCTTATTTTAATTTAACTGTCAATTTCTGCTGAAAAACATTTTTTTGTATTATGCTAGTGCAAAGAAATATAAAATTATTATCTTGCCAGGAAATTAAATCTTTTTGGAACTGTCCTTCGATTTCTAGTCATGCTTTTTGCCTCAATTGCCACAACTTTGACAGAAATACAGATATGTTAGCTTCCAATTCCCAGTACATACACGGTATGTATTTCTATCCTTTAATTTCAACTTTTTTTATTCTTATGCTTAAGATGTATCCTTCTTTTAATAGCACATAGGGTTATAGAAACTTAATATGACAACCTTAATTTTAAATGGAGTGACTAATACAATAAGCCCGGTTATATTTACTGAAGTGATATATTAATTTTTAAAGTTTACCATATTAGATAAGGAGCCCTGGTGGTCCTGTCAGGTAAGCATTGGACTGACTACTAAATGCGTGGTCAGCAGTTCAAACCTATCAGTCATTCCTCAAAAGAAAAATTAGGCTATGTGTTCTGGAAAGGCATTTTTATTTGTAAAAAAAATGTGCTTAATTATTATCCAGAATTTCAATGTTTTAATAGGAAGGGGTTGGTCTCAAGAACCTAGCTCTACAAGAAAAATGATTAGTTTCTCTCTTACTTTTTAAAACCTGATTCTGCAGGATGATTTCTTCAGTTACCTTATGAGTCTCAGTACCCCAAACTGGCATTGATTGAGGTTGTTTTAGACTAAAAATAAATAAACTTCTTCAAAGTGTATTTCTTAAGTTCCAAATGAGTAATTTCAAAACTCCTTGTTGTCTTGGGGCTGATTTCTAAGACCTGACCTGATCTTGGGAATAATTTAGTCACTGTTGAAGTGTTACAGACGTGGAAAAGGGGTTCTGATATTTGGTAAGAGACATCTCTATGGAATACGGAGCCTGGTGGTGCCCTGGCTGACACCCTGAGCTGCTAACAGAGAGGTCAGTGGTTCAAACCTCCCAGCCACTAGTTCTCGGAGACTCTGAGTGTGTCTGTTCCCATCCAGATTGAGCGGCTCACAATCCCAAATGGGTAGTTCTACTCTGACCTACAGGGTCACTGAGCTGGGACTGACTTGATGGCAGTGGGTTGGGTTTGGTATTGGTCATCTATAATATCTGAAGTAGAGCATTTCATAACATTGGGGTTTCATCTTATTGGAGACTGTTCCTTTTGAGCTATATCAGAGAAAATCACTATTAGACATTTTGGATTTAAACTTTGCTACTAAACTCAGGAGAATATAAATGGCTAATCTGGAGAAAAGGTACAATGTGGGCCAATCACAGGTTTTCATGTCTATTTTAAAACTCTTTTAAAACATACAAAGGGACTTCAAGAAGTTCGTGGAAAACTGGCATGAATGGATGATGGAACTTTTGTTTCCATGAACTTTTTGAAGCCCTCCTGCATGGATAAACACGAAAGCAATGGTCTAAGTGTTTAACCCCGGGATGTGTTCGTGATGCCATGATAATCATGGCCTTTAGTCAAGGATGTAAATAAAAGTCCCCTGAGAGACTCACGGGCCTAAAGGAGAGGGGCCAAAGGCGCTCTCTCTTGAGGTAATGATTCTCCTGGAGGATGAGGTCGCCCTGTACTTTGCCCCACCTCCCTTGGATAACTCAGGATATTATTCTAGGATGAGAAAGGGCTCCAGTTACAGTCTCTTCTTCTTCACTTTCAAGTCAACCAAAGGCTGATGGCATGCTTACCTTCAGCAATGAAGACAAATCACCTCAGAAACCCCTTTGTTGGCTAGAGAAACGACAGGACAAGTCTTTGACTCTGAAAGGCTTACATCAATAACCTGGATCCGCTCACCCAGGGAGAGTGGGAGGGGCTTAGGAGGGGCTGTGCACTCTTTGAACAGAACCTTCTTTCTCCACAAAGAGAACCCCCAAAGAGGTGGCTCTGTCAGCCTCTCCTGGCTCTCCCCAGAATAACATGGGGGTGAGGACCTTACCTGGGCTGTCCTCCCCCATGCCTTCTGCGGCCTCTCGGAGCTTGAGGTCCATCACCCTTGTGGAAATCATGTCCAGCTCACTAAAATCAGACAGACATCATGTTAACAGAGCATATTCAGAACAAGTTAAAAATCAGTGAGATGGTTGTAGTGACTGCTTTGTTTTGGCTGTGAGCGCCTCTGCACAGTCCCCAGCACAGGCAGAGCCCAGGTCAAAGTGCAGGGCAGCACACGGCCAAAAAATGCCCGTGACCACAAGGTTGCCC